GGAGCTCTGAGATTGCAGGTAGACTCCAGATAAACGCAGTGTTACGATGTAAGGCATTATGGCAGTGATATACGTGAGAGTAGGGTTTTGTCATTTTTTTCCTAAGTAATTTAAATACCAATACCTTACAATGAGCATGGGAAAGAAAATTATAAACATCCTTGTGGATATTTATAAGATTACCTATAGAAAAGAGATGTCAACCGTTATTACTTTGCCAACCACAAAAAATAGATGAACGTGTTGCCTAAGAGTAGAGGATCAGGTTGGCTCATACTGCCACCTAGAGATAAAATTCAAAACTACTACCTCTTATCTCTAAGGAGCCTGAAAGGTTAGGGTTTGAGCAGGCGGTTTCTTCTCCCACTGACTAGTACTGACTCTCCTAATTGTCTTGTCCATTTGTGAAGAGTCACTGGATGACATTTTCCAGGGAGCCTTCCGGAGGTAGCTGGGATGGCAGCTAGAGTGTGATCATAAACCAAGCTAATACATGGGGTGCAGTCCATTTTCCATTTATCTGTCCCGTCTAAGGGCTGTCCTGGCTAAGTAGCATGGAGATGGGCTTTGAACTCAGAAGCATTGTGGGTTAAACAGAAGTGGGTCTAGGAAGACGATGGCAGAGGATAGCAATGGAAATGCTATACCCTTCCCTCTTCTCAGATGTCCTTCCAGCTGATCCTCAAGGATTGACCTCAGGCCCATTTCCCCTCCTCCTACCTGGTTTATTCTGCTTCCCTCAACCCCATGTGTTCCATGATGACCTTCTGTAAGCTCATCCTCTCTCTCATCCCCTTCCTAACATCCTTCTCACGTCACTCTGAGTCAGTGCTGTTTGGTGGAAAGAGGGTGGAGAAGGAGGCAAAGGTTGGGCAAAGGTGAAATAACATAGCCATACAGAGTGAAATCATGGGAGTGTGTACGTACTGAGGTCATCATTTGTTGTAGGAGCCCAGAAGGGGGTAATTGATGTTGTGGAGTCCAAGAAGAACTTCACAGAGATGAAGCATTTAAGACATACTATTTCTGTAAACAAATGGAGAGGAGGAAATTCCTCTTCTCAAGTGAACAAAGGGATGGATTTGGAAAAAATCAGGGAGGAAAAGGCAAGTTGTTCGTTGTGACAGTAGACAGAGAGAGAGAGAGAACAAGATATGTCTGTAATTGCTGCTGAAATGCAGCTGGAAACATCAAACAAGCAGATCATGGAGGGCCTTAAATTATACACAAAGGATTTTGTGTGTACTATTTCTGTAGCAATAGGCCAACAACGATTAGAACAGTTAAGTGACATGATCAGAACTGTGTTTTCTGCAGATAACTCTTAGGAGAAAGTAAAAGATTGATTAGAGATGCCAGATATTAGAGATACAGACATGTGAGATGTTATTGCAGAAGAACTGAACCAGGGTAGGAGTGGTGAAGATATAAGGTGCATAGAAAATATGATTCTGATATGAGCCTGCATCCTTCAGCAACTAATTGATTCGGGGAGGATTTTGCAATGGGGAGAGAATATACGATGAATTGGAATTATCTAGATGGAAGGGTTGTGAGGATGCGCCATTAACCCAAAGGGGGCCCGAGAGGAGAGGTCAGGGACTCAAAAGTGTGCAAAAATTATTATAACAAACCTCAGTTAAATGGACTTGCGATACCAGAAGGGGGAGCTCTCAAGCCCTGGACAATAGCAGAGCCCAGCAGGAAGAAAAAGGACTTCTCTGGCAAGGACTCAGCCAATGAAAAGCCATGGACTCTTAGCGTACTACGGGCCTCCCAACTTCCTTTTCCCTCTATAAAAGTGTTCTCCTTCTCTTGCCATGGGGGGATTTGCACATGGCTCACCATGAGTGCAGACCCCAGACTGCAATTCTTCGCTGATCCCAAACAAACCCACCTTTGCTGGAGAAATATATGGCATTCTATTTGTTAAAGGTCAACAGGTATGTTATAGTAGAAATTAAATAGGCTTTCTAGTCAAATTAGTCAATGTTAAAATCCTGCCACTTATATGCACGTATCGTCAGACAAGTTAGCAAAACTCTCTGAGCCTTGATTCCTCACCTACAAAATGGGAATGATAATACTGCTTAGTTTCCGTGATGGATGTAGAGGATCCCTGTTGCTTATCTCCTTGGCATCCATCCCCCACTTCTTCCAGCGACATGCCCAGCTTTCACTGGGGAATCTGCTTACTCCGCACTCTCAGAACGTGTGCTCATGAGAGATTCTTGCAGGCAGATCTGATGGGCTCAGGAGTGGACATGTGACCCAGATTGGGCCATTGAGAGCATCATGGCTAAACACCATGGCTTTTGTTTGTGAGCAGATTGTCTGCAGGCTGTGAAGCTGAGAGCTGGATATAAAGGTTAGAGCTGCTGTAACCCTCTTGCCACTTCAGAGGAGATTCTGGAATTGTGCAGTTACACTGCTTGGGGCCTGAAGATGAAGTCCCGTTAGCAAGAGGCAGAAGGAAGAGATACAGAGAAGTGGAGTCACTCGGACATTGTATAAGCCCTTGTTGACAACACTTCCCCAAATCAGCCATGACGATGGACTTTTCAGTTATGTGACTGTCCGAAGACGCTAAGTTATGCTGTGTGGTAACAAACACCCCAAAGCTCAGGGGCTTACAACAACAAAGATTTAGTTCTCACTTAGTTACACAGGATGGCTGCAACTCTGCTAGGTTGTTTTTGATCTGGGACCCAGGATTATGGAGCAAGCTATGTTTGGAAAATCACCAGTTGTAATAGAGGGAAAAGAGAGTAGTAGGGAAAATAAGTACTAGCTCCTAAACCATCTCCCTGGAGGATGCTTCCTGCTCGCACGCCATTGGCCAGAACAAATTCACATACTCAAGCTTCATGCCATAGGGTGGAGAGGGGCAGCAAATATTTCTGAATAATGATAATGCAATCTACCAGTAAATTTCCCTTTTGCTTAAGCGAGCTGAGGTCATATTTTCTGTCACTTGCAGCCAAAAGAACCTTAACTGAGAAAAGCTGTTGAAAGAATTAAATTAGAAATTTTATATACAATAGTCAACACATGGTAGACATTCAGTAACTGGGAGCTACTATTTCCAAGCGCATGAACACAGATGAATCGGGGATTACATTTTTCTCAAATGTTCTCAATTTCTTTAATTTATTCACTATCTCACTAACATTTATTGAGTTCTTTTTATGTGACACACTCTGTGCTAGGTGGTGGGGACACAAAATGATGCAGTACATTTACAGTTTAGTTCTCCAGCAGATTTCATGTTAAAGAAATAACTTAATGTCAGGGCTCGGTGTCTTATGCCTAAGGAAAGTGGAAAACATTTAGGAAATTAGTATTCAGAAAAAGGTTACCTATGGTACCTAATGAAATGGAACCAGAAGTATGACCGATACTCATTTACTCACCACTCATCAACCCATTTGTCCAATACATACTTATTAGCCTCTACCACGAGCTAGACCCTCTTGAGGTAGAAAAGCAAATGACATTTATTCTTGTCTTTACTTAAAATATAGTAGTAAGGAGAGGTGAGCTGAGAGTATATAAATGGATGCTATAATAAGAAAAATAAAACGAAAATGCTGGTGATGGCTAATGCTGTCAGTCACCAATAACCTCCATTTGGCCAAACCTAAAGATCAACACTCAACCTTGCTCCACAAGCAACTGACAAGAGTTAATCATTCCCTTATTCTTCACTTGCTTACGCACACCGCCCTTCCTGGTTTTCCTCCTAAGATCAGTCCTCTGTTACATGCTTAACACACTTACCCCGTAGGTGATCTCATTCAGTCTTCTGGCTTTAAGTATCATCTCTACACTGACGATTCCCAGTTTGATGACTGCCTCAGTGTCTCTCCCCAACTCCAGAATGATTGATCTTATTGCCTCCTTGTATAATAAGCGTCTCACAGTTATCACCAGACTGGACTGCTGATCCATCAGCCCCAAACTGGTGGCTCTCTCGGGGTTCCCACTCCAGTAAAGGGTACCACCTTTCACCCCAGTTGCTCAGGCCAACCTCGGAGTAATCCTAATCCCTTTCCTTCTTTCCTCCCACTTCCAATTCATCAGCCAATCTGTGGACTCTGACTTTTACAACATGTTGAATGTGATCACTTCTTCTCTCTCCCCCTCTAGGATATCACCTCAGTCCTGGACTCAGCCATCCTTCTATCCTGGGCTCTGACAGCAGCTTCCCCTAACTGGCTTTTCTGCTTCCGTCTTTGTTCTGTTATTTTCTACATGGCAGCCAGAATAATTCTTTTAAAACTAAAGTCAGATCATATCACTTCTCTTCTCAAAAGCCTCCAAATGCTCCACTTCACCCTGCGCGCTTAGATACGAGAATGACTCATTCCCTCATTCCCCGGGTCCCATTGGCTCTCTGCTCAAATGTCACTTCATCAGAGAAGTCTTCCCTGATATCTTACCAAAAAATGCTAGTTCCGGGCTTCCCTGGCGGCACAGTGGTTGAGAGTCCGCCTGCCGATGCAGGGGACACGGGTTCGTGCCCCGGTCTGGGAGGATCCCACATGCCGCGGAGCAGCTGGGCCCGTGAGCCATGGCCGCTGAGCCTGCGCGTCCGGAGCCTGTGCTCCGCAACGGGAGAGGCCACAACAGTGAGAGGCCCGCGTACCGCAAAAAAAAAAAAAAAAAATGCTAGTTCCTTCTGCCCTCGCCCTCCATTCCTTTACTGTTTTATTTTTCTTCACGTTGCCACTTGACATCATACAAAATATTTATTTATCTGTTTATAAATAGGAGAATGTAAGCACCATGAGGATTTTGTATTTCCAGTGCCAAAAACCGCCTAAAAAAGGGCTGGCACGCAGATGCTTTTATTAAGTACTCTAGGCATTATTCTAACACAATTTATTATCATTAGATTCGCTGTATTACTGTCCACATTTCACAGACGTGGTAGCCGAGGCACAGAATCGGGAAGTGACTTGCCCAGAGTCACAGCGCCCTCAAGTGGCTTAGCTAGGATGCACATTGAGGCGCTCTTCCTCCGGGGTCCCTCTGCTCCTCAACACTTGGCGCTCAGGTCCGACACCCGAAAGCCGTTCGCGGGGGGCGAGCTGGACGTCAGGGGGACGCCAGCGAGGGCGCGGCTCACTCAGCCTCCCGTTTCCTGGGAAGTCAGCGCGCACCCGTCCCTAGCCTTTGGGTGCCGCAGCTGGCAGAGCGCACAGATTCGGACAGGCGGCTGGGCGCGGGAGCGGCCCGTACTTCTGCTGGGTCGCGGGTCGCCGGAGACGGGAGAACCGAGCCCCGCGCAGCCTGAGCGCAACGCCTCCCGTTTCGTTTTCCCGAGGCGCCTCGGCTTTGTTTCGGTTTCCAGTTGTTCCGTCTTCAAAACGAAACTGAAAGTTGCGCTAAACTGCGCAGCGTTCCCTTGGACGGAGATGCCTTTTGGCACCAGTCCTTACCTCTGCGAATCTGTCTGGAACAGAGTGACCTTGCAAACGTGGTTTGTGGTTTGGACACCTGAAACTCCCTCAGAAATACCCTAGGGCGTCTTTTTTCTTCAGATTAAAAACATGTATAATAGCATTTTGCTATTATTGATTATTATATCAATAGAGACACAGGGAAAGAAATCGCTTATGATTCTAACACCCAAAGACAACTAATATTTTGATGCATTTTTTTTGGCCTTTTTTTCCTATTATACATTTAATCTTTATAAAATCATGTCATTATACAGTTTTATATATGCAGAATTTAACTCTAAATTGCGTTTTCGTCAAACATAATATCATGAACATATTGCCCTTTTATTATATATTTTTTAAAATAAATTTTAAATTGTTGTGTAACGTTCCAGGTTCTGACAGTACAATTCAGTTATTCTCTTGTGGAAGTTTGTTTTTATCTCATCAGGGCCTTTTATAAATAATAGTATGATTGACATTATTGTAAGTAAATATTTGACCAAATTTCTGATTACTTAAAATAAATTCCAAAAGATGTGTCTGGAGGAAAAACTTCTCCTCTCCCCTCTTAGTTCTTATACTGAGGGTCTGTGAACTAAACTGACAAAGACAGATTAACGAGAAAAAAACCTTACAACTTTATGAATATTTTATGTGCACAGGAGTTCACAGAAAAGTGAAACTCAAGAAGTGGTTAGCCTTAGGAGCTTATATGCCATTTAACAAAGAACAGGGGGTTTGGGTTTTGAGGGATGATCAGTTGTGGAGAAGTGTCTTTGAAATATATTAGGGAGGGGCTTCCCTGGTGGCACAGTGGTTGAGAGTCCACCTGCCAGTGCAGGGGACACGGGTTCGAGTCCTGGTCCAGGAAGATCCCACATGCCGCGGAGCAGCTAAGCCCGTGCGCCACAACTACTGAGCCCACGCACCTAGAGCCTATGCTCCGCAGCAAGAGAAGGCACGGCAATGAGAAGCCCGCGCACTGCAACGAAGAGTAGCCCCTGCTCGCCGCAACTAGAGAAAGCCCGTGTGCAGCAATGAAGACCCAACGCAGCCAAAAATAAAACAACTTAAAAAAAAAAGATAAAAGTAATGAACATCTTAAAAAAAAAAAAGAAGTATATGAGGGAAACTAATGGAAGATAAGTGTTACTTTACTAAGGGCTGTTTATGCAGACTCATCTCAGTGCCAGCTCTGGTGATAAGAGGCATTCTTTTCTTCCTGGTATGGAAGGGGGGGTGCACCTTCACAGGAGAAATTCATGCCAACTTCACAAATTTATGCTTTTAAGTTGATAAGGGGAAGGCAGAGAACTCTTTCTGCATCTGTTGATTCTCAGTTGCCTTCATCTCAAAGTCATCCTTAGGCCAAAGTGGCATATTTTGGGGTGGCATATTCTGATCCCCTTCAGGTGGAAATTAGGGAGAACGTGACACTTAAAGCCAAATTCTTCTCCAGGAAGAAGGTACCAGTTTCCACCTCCATGAGTATATGAATCTTTGGGAATTTTTTTATCGTTGCATAGTTTGCAAAGTAAATCATTGAAAAGGATAAGATCACAAGATTAAAAAAGAAAACTTAAGTGTTAAGAAAAACTTTACCAGTAATGACATGCTTAACTTCAAACCTCCGATAATTCAGAGACAAACGCTTTGGGAGAACAGCTTGGATTGTCTTGTAGGGAAATGTGCTCAGGTTTTCATCTGTGGGCACATCTGGCCCATTGGGAGGCATGTTACTGCACTCTTCACTGTGAGTGCCTCTGGCATCTGCCTCTCACACTCAGGCAGGCTCCTTGCCCTTAGCAAAGGATGCACTGTTCTCACTCTTCAGGGCTGGAAGGTCAGAGGAATGGAGGAGGGGTGATCCCACCTTCTCTCCTTTATCTGGCTGGGTTTTGACTCCACCCTCATAGAGAAATGTTAGGGCAGCAAGTCCTTACAGGTTCCCTCCTCCACATGCCCACCCTTTTAAATAGCAGCCGTATTCCCATAAGGACAGTGCCACACACTGAGCCTGTTTCCTTCACACCTTTAAGGTGGACCTTAGGCCTTGATTGAAAAGTCATTGGAAGAGATGGGAAATCCCAGTGACCCTTCCTTTTGAGGAAAAGTACTTTCTTAAACTTGGTATTATATGAACAATCTTATGGGAGGTTTGGTTTTGTTTTTGTTCCTAAAGAACGAATTCCGGCATTGGAGACTCTGTATGTTGGTCCGGTGAGCTGTGGAAAGGAGCATTCCCTGGCTGGCTGTCACAAAGGAAGGGTCTTCGCGTGGGATCTGGTTCTGAAGGACAGCTGGGAATTGGAGAATTTAAGAAAATACATTTTATGCCTAAGTACGTATTTTAATTCATTCATTTATTCATTCAGTATTTTTGAGTTTCATGTGACAGGCACCATGCAAGAGCACCATGCAAGGGTCCGAAGATGACTATAACAAACACAGTCCCTAACCTCACAGGTTACAGTGTAGTGAGGGAAGGAGGGGGGAAGAAGACAAGGTATAACACCAGTTGTTATTTAATTAGAGTCTATGAAAGAGCAGGGCAGCATGAAGTGAGAACCTGTGACCCTGTGATTTTAATCTTAGGTACTGGAAATAACTGTGGGACCCACTTGGACCTCCAGAGTTGGTGTAAAGATTATTTTAAAGCGAAAATCTTTGAGCTACAGAAAGTTCACAGAGAGACATCTTACCTGACTAAAACAGGTAAGATTTAGTTTTACCTGTTTTAGATACAGCTGCCATTAACCGTCCTTTGAGGGAGTTTCCTATGAATTCAGCCGTTGTAAAGACAAAGCGCCCGATCAGCATCAAAAACCCAATTGAACCTTCCATCCTCTCCCACTCAAGCCCTAAATAAATCCCTTTTGCTAAGTTAATATACGTACACCTCTACTCAGGCTATTGTACAAATTTTCCGTTACGGGAGCTCCTGTCTGTACATGTAGATAAACTTTGCCTTTTCTCCTGTTAATCTGTTTATACTCAGTTAATTTGCAGGTCCCCAATCATGGGACACAAGTTGGAAGAGGAAAGGTTTTCCTCCCAACATAACCTTTTGGCTTGTCATAAGCCACTGGATCCTAATATTTTCCTTAGTAAAATCGGGGTAAAAAATCACATCCTCACACACAGCTTCCTAGGCCAAATGATATGACAAGCAGTCTGAACTGTGTGTTCATGAATTACGTGCATTGGAAATTTTCAAAAACATGTTTTTTAATGCTAGGAAGTTACCTTTTGTTACTTTCTCTGCTCATTAAATTGTATAAGAGATTGCTGTAGGGGCTTCCCTGGTGGCGCAGTGGTTGGGAGTCCGCCTGCCGATGCAGGGGACACGGGTTCGTGCCCCGGTCCGGGAAGATCCCACATTCCGCGGAGCGGCTGGGCCCGTGAGCCATGGCCGCTGGGCCTGCGCGTCCAGAGCCTGTGCTCCGCAACGGGAGAGGCCACAACAGCGAGAGGCCCGCGTACCAAAAAAAAAAAAAAAAAAAAAAAAAAAGAGATTGCTGTGGCTTGGGGGAATGAGCACTGAACTTGGAATGAAAAGCCCAAGGTTTGAGTCTGTTCTACAACTGATACTAGTTCACCTCTTTGAGTTTTCCTAGGTTGAGCCGTGTGAAATTGCCGATAGTTATGTTTTTGATCCACAAAAGTGGCAGTTTAATAGGAATCAACCTAGTGGTATCTTTATCTCACAGGGTGAGATAGGTGTTGTAGGTGACAGTGCTCTATAAATTCTAAAGCCCTGGACTATATGTGTGTGAAGAAATTTAGTTTTCTTTTAGGCTGATAAGTATAGCATAAAAGTTAGTACATTATACAATGTGTGAAAAGCCCAATAATTCAAAAGCCCAATTCCTTTTTGAATTATATATTGTTCTGGATTCTGCCCTGCACCTTTGTACATGTTGATGACACGTTAAAATAGCTTGAAGGCTTTGGAATAAAAAGTTTGTTCGGGTTTTTCCATAAGATGTTATGGAAACCCCCGAACGAACTTTTTGGCCAACCCAATAGTACAGAAATACAAGAAAATAAGTTAAAATATCTGTAGTCCACTTGGTGACCCAATCTGAAGAAGGATTAATAGATTTTGTATCATTTTTATTATAGGAAGATAGAAACTCTGACTGGTATGAAAATTATACAAGTCTCCTGTGGATGCTACCACTCCCTGGCATTATCAGAAGGTAAAAAAAGTCTTCCTGGATCTCCTGTGTGTCATCAGGAAGTAATTTTTTGAATAAGAATGATACCTGTACCTCGAGTCTGTCATACAGAGTGAAGTAAGTCAGAAAGAGAAAAACAAATACCGTATGTTAACACACATATATATGTGGAATCTGAAAAAAAAAAAACAAAAAACGTTCTGAAGAACCTAGGGACAAGACGGGCATAAAGACGCAGATGTAGAGAATGGACTTGAGGACCGGGGAGGGGGAAGGGTAAGCTGGGACGAAGTGAGAGAGTGGCATGGACATATATACACTACCAAATGTAAAATAGATAGCTAGTGGGAAGCAGCCGCATAGCACAGGGAGATCAGCTCGGTGCTTTGCGACCACTTGGAGGGGTGGGATAGAGAGGATGGGAGGGAGACACAAGAGAGAGGAGAGGATATATGTATAGCTGATTCACTTTTTTATAAGGCAGAAACTAACACACCACTGTAAAGCAATTATACTCCAATAAAGATATTTTTTTAAAAAAGAATGATACCTGTTGAGTTTAATGCACTGGGGTTCATTTTAATGCATTTAAAGTTAAAAAGAAAACTTAGATGTAATAACTTACAGAAATCTGACATGTGTTGGCATTTCTCTGAGTAGCATCAGAAGAACTTGACTTTTTTTTTTTCCTTTTTTGCGGTACGCGGGCCTCTCACTTTTGTGGCCTCTCCCGTTGCGGAGCACAGGCTCCGGACGCGCAGGCTCAGCGGCCATGGCTCACGGTCCCAGCCACTCCACGGCATGTGGGATCCTCCCGGACCGGGGCACAAACCCGTGTCCCCTGCATCGGCAGGCGGACTCTCAACCACTGCGCCACCAGGGAAGCCCTATTGGTATTTTTTTTTTTTTAGACTTAATTGATCATATATTTTTATCATGCATCAGGCTTTTGGAAACATAAAAAGGAAAATGTGCACCAACCAAACTGGTAAAGCTTTTCCTAAAGCTTCTTTGCATTCTTTTTTTTAAAATATCTCTCTTAATTCTTTTTTTATACAGCAGGTTCTTATTAGTCATCCATTTTATACACATCAGTGTATACATGTCAATCCCAGTTTCCCAATTCATCACACCGCTACTCCCATCCCCTGCCGCTTTTGTCCCTTGGTGTCCATACGTTTGTTCTCTACATCTGTGTCTCTATTTCTGCCCTGCAAACCGGTTAATCTGTACCATTTTTCTAGGTTCCACATATATGCGTTAATATATGATATTTGTTTTTCTCTTTCTGACTTACTTCACTCTGTATGACAGTCTCTAGATCCATCCACGTCTCAACAAATGACCCAATTATGTTCCTTTTTATGGCTGAGTAATATTCCATTGTATATATGTACCACATCTTCTTTATCCATTCATCTGTCGATGGGCATTTAGGTTGCTTCTGTGACTTGGCTATTGTAAATAGTGCTGCAGTGAACATTGGGGTGCATGTGTCTTTTTGAATTATGGTTTTCTCTGGGTGTGTGCCCAGTAGTGGGATTACTGGATCATATGGTAATTCTATTTTTAGTTTTTTAAGGAACCTCCATACTGTTCTCCATAGTGGCTGGATCAATTTACATTCCCACCAACAGTGCAAGAGGGTTCCCTTTTCTCCACACCCTCTCCAGCATTTGTTGTTTGTACATTTTCTGATGGTGCCCATTCTAACTGGTGTTAGGTGATACCTCATGGTAGTTTTGACTTGCATTTCTCTAATAATTAGTGATGTTGAGCAGCTTTTCATGTGCTTCTTGGCCATCTGTATGTCTTCTTTGGAGAAATGTCTATTAGGTCTTCTGCCCATTTTTGGATTGAGTTGTTTGTTTTTTTAATATTGAGCTGCATGAGCTGTTTATATATTTTGGATTAATCTCTTGTCTGTTGATTTGTTTGCAAATATTTTCTCCCATTCTGAGGGTTGTCTTTTCGTCTTGTTTATGGTTTCCTTTGCTGTGCAAAAGCTTTTAAGTTTCATTAGGTCCCATTTGTTTATTTTTGTTTTTATTTCCATTACTCTAGGAGGTGGATCAAAAAAGATCTTGTGGTGATTTATGTCACAGAGTGTTCTTCCTATGGTTTCCTCTATAAGAGTTTTATAGTGTCCGGTCGTACATTTAGGTCTCTAATCCATTTTGAGTTTATTTTTGTGTACGGTGTTAGGGAGTGTTCTAATTTCATTCTTTTACATGTAGCTGTCCAGCACACTTATTGAAGAGACTGTCCTTTCTCCGTTGTATATCCGTGCCTCCTTTGTCATAGATTAGGTGACCATAGGTGCGTGGGTTTATCTCTGGGCTTTCTATCTTGTTCCATTGAGCTATGTTTCTGTTTTTGTGCCAGTACCATATTGTCTTGATTACTGTAGCTTTGTAGTATATTCTGAAGTCAGGGAGTCTGATTCCTCCAGCTCCGTTTTTTCCCCTCAAGACTGCTTTGGCAGTTGCTTCATTTGCAAATATTTTCTCCCATTCTGAGGGTTGTCTTTTGGTCTTGTTTATGGTTTCCTTTGCTGTGCAAAAGCTTTGAAGTTTCATTAGGTCCCATTTGTTTATTTTTGTTTTTATTTCCATTTCTCTAGGAGGTGGGTCAAAAAGGATCTTGCTGTGATTTATGTCATAGAGTGTTCTACCTATGTTTTCCTCTAAGAGTTTTATAGTGTCTGGCCTTACAATTAGGTCTTTAATCCATTTTGAGTTTATTTTTCTGTATGGTGTTAGGGAGTGTTCTAATTTCATACTTTTACATGTACCTGTCCAGTTTTCCCAGCACCGCTTTTCGAAGAGGCTGTCTTTTCTCCACTGTATATTCTTGCCTCCTTTATCAAAGGTAAGGTGACCATATGTGCATGGGTTTATCTCTGGGCTTCCTATCCTGTTCCATTGATCTGTATTTCTGTTTTTGTGCCAGTACCATACTGTCTTGATTACTGTAGCTTTGTAGTATAGTCTGAAGTCAGGGAGCCTGATTCCTCCAGCTCCATTTTCCTTTCTCAGGACTGCTTTGGATATTCAGGGTCTTTTGTGTTTCCATACAAATTGTGAAATTTTTTGTTCTACTTCTGTGAAAAATGCCATTGGTAGTTTGATAAGGATTGCATTGAATCTGTAGATTGCTTTGGGTAGTAGAGTCATTTTCACAACGTTGATTCTTCCAATCCAAGAACATGGTATATCTCTCCATCTGTTTGTATCATCTTTAATTTCTTTCATCAGTGTCTTATAGTTTTCTGCATACAGGTCTTTTGTCTCCCTAGGTAGGTTTATTCCTAGGTATTTTATTCTTTTTGTTGCAATGGTAAATGGGAGTGTTTCCTTAATTTCTCTTTCAGATTTCTCATCATTAGTGTATAGGAAGGCAAGAGATTTCTGTACATTAATTTTGTATCCTGCAGCTTTACCAAATTCATTGATTAGCTCTAATAGTTTTCTGGTGGCATCTTTAGGATTTTCTATGTATAGTGTCATGTCATCTGCAAACAGTTACAGTTTTACGTCTTCTTTTCCGATTTGGATTCCTTTTATTTCTTTTTCTTCTCTGATTGTCATGGCTAGGACTTCCAAAACTATGTTGAATAATAGTGGCAAGAGTGGACATCCTTGTCTTGTTCCTGATCTTAGAGGAAATGCTTTCAGCTTTTCACCATTGAGAATGATGCTTGCTGTGGGTTTGTCATATATGGTCTTTATTATGTTGAAGTAGGTTCCATCTATTCCCACGTTCTGAAGAGTTTTTATCATAAATGGGTCTTGAATTTTGTCAAAAGCCTTTTTTGCATCTATTGAGATGATCATATGGTTTTTTCTTCTTCAATTTGTTAATATGGTTTATCACATTGATTGATTTGCATATACTGAAGAATACATCCATCCCTGGGATAAATCCCACTTGATCATGGTGTATGATCCTTTTAATGTGTTGTTGGATTCTGTTTGCTAGTATTTTGTTGAGGATTTTTGCATCTATATTCATCAGTGATATTTTTCTGTAACTTTCTTTTTTTGTAGTATCTTTGTCTGGTTTTGGTATCAGGGTGATGGTGGCCTCAGAGAATGAGTTTGGGAGTGTTCCTTCCTCCGCAGTTTTTGGGAAGAGTTTGAGAAGGATGCGTGTTAGCTCTTCTCTAAATGTTTGATAGAATTCACCTGTCAAGCCATGTGGTCCTGGACTTTTGTTTGTTGGAAGATTTTTAATCACAGTTTCAATTTCATTACTTGTGATTGGTCTGTTCATATTTTCTGTTTCTTCCTGGTTCAGTCTTGGAAGGCTATACCTTTCTAAGAATTTGTCCATTTCTTCCATGTTGTCCATTTTATTGGCATAGAGTTCCTTGTACTAGTCTCTTAGGATGCTTTGTATTTCAGCAGTGTCTGTTGTAACTTCTCCTTTTTTATTTCTAATTTTATTAATTTGAGTCCTCTCCCTCTTTTTCTTGATGAGTCTGGCTGATGGTTTATACATTTTTTTATCTTCTCAAAGAATGAGCTTTTAGTTTTATTGATCTTTGCTATTGTTTTCTTTGTTGCTATTTCATTTATTTCTGCTCTGATCTTTATGATTTCTTTCCTTCTGCTAACTTTGGGTTTTGTTTGTTCTTCTTTCTCTAGTTCCTTTAGGTGTAAGGTTAGATTGTTTATTTGAGATGTTTCTTGTTTCTTTAGGTAGACTTGTATAGCTGTAAACTTCCCTCTTAGAACTGCTTTTGCTGCATCCCATAGGTTTTGGATCATCGTGTTTCATTGTCGTTTGTCTCTAGGTATTTTTTGATTTCCTCTTTGATTTCTTCAGTGATCTCTTGGTTATTTAGTAATGTATTGTTTAGCCTCCACGTGTTTGTGTTTTTTACGTTTTTTTCCCTGTAATTCATTTCTAATCTCTTAGCATTGGGGTCAGAAAAGATGCTTGATATGATTTCAATTTTCTTAAAGTTACTGAGGCTTGATTTGTGACCCAAGTTGTGATCTATCCTGGAGAATGTTCTGTGTGCACTTGAGAAGAAAGTGTAATCTGTTTTTTTTGGATGGAATGTCCCATAAATATCAATTAAATCTATCTGGTCTATTGTGTCATTTAAAGCTTCTGTTTCCTTATTTATTTTCATTTTGGATGATCTGTCCATTGGCATAAGTGAGGTGTTAAAGTCTTCCACTATTATTGTGTTACTATTTTCTCTTTTATAGCTGTTAGCAGTTGCCTTATGTATTGAGGTGCTCCTATGTTGTGTGCATATATATTTATAATTGTTATATCTTCTTCTTGGATTGATCCCTTGATGTTTATGTAGTGTACTTCCTTGTCTCTCGTAGCATTCTTTATTTTAAAGTCTATTTTGTCTGATATAAGTATTGCTACTCCAGCTTTCTTTTGATTTCCATTTGCATGGAATGTCTTTTTCCATCCCCTCACTTTCAGCCTGTATGTGTCCCTAGGTCTGCAGTAGGTCTCTTGTAGACAGCATATATATGGGTCTTGTTTTTGTATCCATTCAGCAAGCTTGTGTCTTTTGGTTGGAGCATTTAATCCATTCACGTTTAAGGTAATTATCGATATGTATGTTCCTAGTACCATTTTCTTAATTGTTTTGGGTTTGTTTTTGTAGGTCCTTCCCTTCTCTTGTGTTTCCCACTTAGAGAAGTTCTGTTGTTGTTTGGATGGGTGATATTAAGGTATGTTTGTATGCCAGTGAGAACGATCCAGTTCAGGAGGAGAAAGTGATGATGCATGAGAAAGAGGGAATGATTGTAGAGGTAATACTGTCCCAGAATAGGAGCCAGGAAGCAGGGCCAGGGGTCCAGTGTGGCACGTAGGGCTTTGGGCAGAAATTTTTATTCTGTTCAGATGAGGAACAGTGGAGGTGAGGGTAGGTTGCTTGTGGGAAGGTGATTAGTTCTTCCCTGATTGTTTCAGTTTTCTCAGTGATGCACAAGGCACGGTCCTTATTTGAAACTTAGTGAAGCAGAGGAAGATTGCTACAGGTTTAGGAATAAACGGAAAGTGTGCAATAGTGACTCAGAGTGAGACAGTGAACATCGTGGGAGATTACGAGACAGTATAGAGTGACCATTTGAAATCTGTGGTTGTAGGGCATAAGGTGAAATCAGTCGGCACAGTTGTTTGTTTTTCTCCATTGATGTTAAGCTGCTTGGATTCCTTTGGAGTAATTCAGATTGAAGGTTAACTACAGGTGGACTTTTGCTAGGTAAGTACAATAGGAAAGGGACAGAAGACTTGGAGGTATTTGCAAATGACTGATTACACTGCTGACCGTAGAACCTAAGCTGGGTAGGATAGATAATGAACAAACAATAGGGTTGATGGATTGGAGAGCCCAGTGGCCTCAAAGAATGTTGGAGTGGATTCCACTCTAAAGTGTCTTCGTCTCTTCGGGCTGCTATAACAAAATACCATAGATTGAGTGGTTTATAAACAGAAGTTTATTTCTCACAGTTTTGGAGGCTGGGAAGTCTGGGATTAAGATGACAGCGCATTTGGGAATTCCCTGGTGGTCCAGTGGTTAGGACTTGACACTTTCACTGCTGTGGCCCGGGGTTCGATCCCTGGTCTGGTCTGGGAACTAAGATCCCGCAAGCTGCACAGTGTGGCCAAAAAAAAAAAAAAAGATGATGGCAGATTTGATGTCTGGCGAGGGCCTGCTTCCTGGTTTACAGATGGCTGTCTTCTCACTGTATCCTCATGTGGCAGAAGGACCAGGGGTGAAAGAGCTCTCTGGGGTCTGTTATAAAGGGCACTAGTTCCATTCCTGAGGGCTCCACCCTCATGACCCAATCACTTTCCAAAGGCCCTACCTCCTAATACCATCACATTGGGGGTTAGGATTCCAATATATGAATTTGGGGGGAAAACACTCAGTCCGTAACGTTCTGCCACTGCCCCCCTCAAATTCATGTCCTTCTTGCATGCAGAATACATTCATTTCATCCCAACAGCCCCCAAGTCTTAACTCATTCCAGCATCAAAGAATGTTAGCCTGGGAGTTCCACTCTGAAGTCAGTGAATTAGAAGGATGGTGTATGATGATCAGAGAGGAGAATGTTTCTAATGGAAATTTAGAAGGTGGAACAATTTTTGTTTGTTTGTTTGGCTGTGTTGGGTCTTTGTTGCTGCATGTGGGCTTTCTCTACAGGGTTCTCACTGCGGTGGCTTCTCTCGTTGCGGAGCACGAGCTCTAGAGCGCAGGCTCAGTAGTTGTGTCGCACGGCCTTAGTCGCTCTGCGGCATGGGGGATCTTCCCGGACCAGGGTTCGAACCCGTGTCCCCTGCATTGGCAGGTGGATTTTTAACCACTGCACCACCAGGGAAGTCCCTGGAACAATGACTGGTGATTATAAAGTACAGAATATCACCTTTATCTAGGGCAATAGTTTTCAACTAGGAGTGGTTTTGCGCCCCTGGAAACACCTGGCAATGTCTGTGCTCAGCTGAGGTTGTCCTGAGGGAGGGGCATGTATGTCGGGGTGGCTGCTACTGGCATCAGGTGGGTAGAGGCCAGGGCTGCTGCTAAACATCCTGCAATGCACAAGACAGCCGCTCACAACAGAGAATTATCGGATGCGAAATGCCAGGCGGAGCAGTTTAGAAGCCCCGACCCAGGGCCTGGGTGGCTACAGTGGAGCAGAGGAAGAGAGTGGAGACAAGATAAAGAACTGAGAGATCAAGAGGGGCAATAAACTGGGTTCATGAAGGACGAAGTTGCCAAGAAGGACAGGAAGAATGATGACAGGCATGGATGTGCTGAGGAAGACAGGCAGCAAGGTGCTAAAGTTTCCAGTGATTGAAGGGTCGTGACTAGGACTTTGGCAGGTGATACAGTCTGTTGTTATGTGCTTCAGAGGAGCCGGGATTTTGAAGAAGAAAGTAGAAGAAATGGTCTGTAAATGCCAGTAGGGAGCGCCTCATCGTCCTAAGGTCCCTGGGATGGTGGAGGGAAAAAAGCTTCCTCATGGTTGAACTCCAGGGAACACCCAGGACTCAGATCAAGACAGTGGAAGGGAACTTTGGGAGTCACGGTAATACATCTTTTTCAAAAGGTCTTTAGCTAAGCATTAAACAAAAGTGATGCAGAATTCCCTGATTTACTATAAGTTAGTGGAAGCAGAGGTATATTACAGAGCAGAGCGCTAACGTCCTTGGAAAAATATATTAAAGACAGGTTTTTCTCTCCAGACAGTGATTTCTGACACCTCTGGTTGAGCCATTTGGTTTCAAATACTATGTAGAACGATGGTTCTCAAAACTGTGGTCGCCAAATCGGCAGCCTCAGCATCACCTGGGAATTTGCTAGATGCAGATTCTTGAGCTCCACGCCTGACCTGCTGAATCGGAAACTGTGGAGATGGGCCCAGCCGTCTAGGCTTTAACAAGATCACTAGGTGATTCTGTTATCAGTTTGAAAACCACTGATATAAAAGCAAAAACCTGTGGATGATTAAAGGGCAGAAAGAAACTAGTATTTACTGAGTACTTACTATAATCCAAAGGCTTTGTATACCTAATATCTTTTAATCTCATTTTTTAATTGTGGTAAAACCTTCACCGCTATCTACCTCTAAAACTGTTTTCATTACCCCAAGCAGAAACTCTTTTTTCTCCCCAAGCAGAAACTTTGAACCATTAAATAATAACTCCCCATTCCCCACTACCTGTAACCCCAGGTAACCTCTAATACCCTTTCTGTCTATGAATTAGCCTGTTTCATATAAGTGGAATTGTACAATATTTGTCCTTTTGTATCAGGCTTATTTCACTCCGCATAGCGTTTTCACAGTTCATCCATGTTGCAGCATGTGTCAGAACTTCCTTCCTTTTCATGGCCGAGTAATATTCCATTGTATGGATGTACCATATTCATCTGTTGATGCTGTTGCTGGACGTGGGTTGTTCCCATCTTTTTGGCTATTGTGGATAATGCTGCAATGAATATTGACATACAGTATCTGTTTGAGTCCCTGTCTTCAGTTCTTTTGTGTTATCTCATTTTTTAAATAACAAAGCTAAGGCTTGGACCAAGCAAAGTGGCCAAGGCTAGAAAATGGAAGAGCCAGGCCAGTCTGATGCTCTGGCTCCTCCCACAAAACCCCAGTGTCTGAGAGGATGGGGCCCCATCTCCCACCTGTGTTTTACTCACTACTTAATGTGTGTGTATTTTCCTGATCATTCTTTTCTTTCTTCCTAGAAGGATACTAGTTCCACCAGCATTTCCAGGAAAATCCTGCCAGAAATAAGCGGAATTAACCAGTCGCCGACAGAAAAATGGATGGCAGTGGCAAGAGGAAGTGTAGAGCGTGAAGTAAGTGACTGAGAGGTGGCTCTGTCTGACAAAGTAGAAACTGGGAATTTCCTGGCGGTCCAGGGGTTAGGCCTCTGCGCTTTCACTGCTGGGGGCCCAGGTTCGATCCCTGTTTGGGGAACTAAGACCCTGCAAGCCGTGTGGCACAGCCCCCAAAAAAAGGAGAAACCACTTTTATTTGGTTCTGAAGCCTTGGTCATTTTATCCTAGACATAAGAGAGAGGATTTGGCTTTGTCGTGAAGGCATTTGCATTTTAATCATCATTCTCTTCTACCATCTCTTAGTTTGAAGAAGTCATTTTATTCATTCATTCATCATTTCTTTAACAGAGGTATATTGAGGATGTACAATATGCCAGGCACTTTGATAGGTGAGGACGATGCAGGAGTGAATCAAAAATGCTTTCTGTGCCACAAAGCCTTCCCCAGGGCAGACTGTTTTTATAGCTTCATAGTTTATTCTCTGGAGCTCCAGAAGCTTCTGTTTTCAGAAGGATGCGTTTTATTTAAATCTAGATGACTTGATCAAATCAACTGTGAAGGGTTTTGGTGAGATTTAGCAGTCACGTGCACAAAGTATACCCAGAATTTGGAGGACTCTTAAGAGAGCAGTTATTTTCGTTAACAATGGTTCCGCGTCATCAGTTACATACAGTATTCGGTAAGATAAAAGGGACATGCTTATAGTATGTTGTGACTTAACCTTGTCTTATTATGTTTGCAGGGAAATTAGAGTGATATTTTCATCTCCTGCTTGTCTGACTGCAAGTTTTTAAAGAAAAGGTAACACTTACATGAGACTTAATTTTATTTAAAACACTGGGGGATATTTAAAATGAAATGTTTCGACTCAGTCATTTTAATATGTGCATTTTGTTATCTATGAACAAAAAAGAATCCAACATTGAAAACTCCATCGGTTGTTACAGAATTCTCCCATTTTTGTAAAGGAGTTTCCTATTGGACCACTGCAAGTTGTAATTTCTAATTTACCTTGTTCACTGCCTCTGCCCTGCCCTTCTCTGCTGTCTGATTGGCAGGAATGGTGTTTTTTTCAGAATCTTTGCATCTAGGAGCGATCAGTTCATTCGAACATTGCTTTTGTACTTAGAGGCCAGGCCTGTGCTCTGAAGCTCTTATTTTGAGATCAATAAGGAAAACAGATTCTATTTATTTTATCTTTAACTAGTCTTACTACCACAGAGGAGCATCTAACTTCTCTCCTACTTGGTTTGACACTTGGTCTGATTCAGTAGTTTAAACAAGTCCTCTCTTAAATCACTCAATGTTTGGTCTTCTGTTTCTTCACCTCCCTCTATGCGCTCCAATACTGTACCTGGGAACTACTGAAGGATAAAGTGAGGCATATTAAAAATTGTAAGTTTGTTTGAGCGAACATCAATTTGAATCACGCAGCACCAATTCAGAATTGCCTAAGAGTGCACCAGCGAGAGGAGCTCAGGGAGAGACATACAGAGAAGGTACAGAAACAAAGAAAGGAAGCTATTTGATTGTCTGTAACTCAAAGCCTACTGGGCTTTTTGTGATTGGCTGCCCTTAGCTTTTGATTCATAACTTTGAGGCATTTACAGGCTTAGATTTTGGGTTGCTTTTATAGGCCACCATGGCACTGGAGCCACTGCAGTGTAATGACCTCGTTGTTTAATTACTTTAGCAGTAACGTGGGAGGGGAGGGGGAATAGTAGCATAAAGGGGCCCTTAGGTTGCCCTCTGTCTTCTCCGGAGGCCGGTGCCCTGCAGGTCTGTCCGCAGCTGGTGTCACTCGTCTCTGTCCTCCTTCGCTAGGTCAGGTCCTGTCCCTCCCTTGTTGACTTGGCCTCAGAAGATAGCTGTACACATCCGCCGCTAGGCGGTACTCACTATTCGCTTAACCCCTGTTGCAGGTACTTCTTGCCTCTAAGTAACCTGCCCTCCCTTTCCCCCCGCCCCCCGCCATTGTCCCTTTGGTTCTTAACCCAGCTGCATTCCCAGCCATTCCTCAGGGAGACTGGAGGAACTGTTGGGTCCAACAGCTTCACCTGGGAACCAGAGAAGCCCAGGGAAGATGAGTGTCATGCCTGCCCACCGCAGCTCACGAGGCGGTTATCATTCTAGAGTCCCCAGAGGCATCCCTATTCATCTCTACACATCCCGGCCAAAGGCAGGAGATGAGAAATCAAGACACTGCTTCCCTCTGCCGGCTTTCTCTCCCATTTGCCATCCTCTTCTTGCCATCCTTCTAGCCTAGAAAGGAGGGGGCTCTACCATGTAATGTATCCTGTTTCTTCCCCACTGTAGCCTCAAGCTAATTCTCATTACCTAGAGGAGAATCTTTTCTACACTAAGAAAATTATCTTTCTAAAGTGTCTCCATGTCCCCTTCCCAGGAGTGATAAACCTGAAGGTTTGATCTTAAGACGCCAAAGGCTGCAAAGGAGAATTTATTTTACAGGGAAATTTACAGTACTCTGTTTTGGTACTTGCATAAATGTTTTAGGCCTAGTATTACAATTGATTGGTTAATCTAGCAAGCATGAAATATTTAATAGTACATTATAAAGACAAATCGTCCTACAGAGTGCAAGCTCCTCAAATATTACCAACACAACCCAGGGAAACGCCACACCTAGGCAAAGAAAGCCTTGGTAGTATTTCTGAGGAGAATGGCCAGGTCTGAATTTTTTTAAATCAACAGTTTGGATTAAGGCAGGTCTTTCAGTGTAGGAGGGGAGGATTGGGGACTTCATCAGGATTGAGGAAAGATACTACAATCCAGGACGGTTGGAAACAGCAAGGAAAGGATGATTTTTTTTTTTTTTTTTTTTGCGGTACGCGGGCCTCTCACTGTTGTGGCCTCTCCCGGTGCGGAGCACAGGCTCCGGATGCACAGGCTCAGCGGCCATGGCTCACGGGCCCAGCCGCTCCGTGGCATGTGGGATCTTCCCGGACCGGGGCACGAACCCGTGTCCCCTGCATCAGCAGGCGGACTCTCAACCACTGCGCCACCAGGGAAGCCCAAGGCAAGGATTTTGAGACAAGAGATGCGAAGAATTTGAGGGCTTAAACTGTTGATTGCTTTCCCTGGTAGAGTTAATGGGTCTTTTCAGGAAGTTCCTAAAATGAACAATCAAGCCATTTGCTTGGGCAAGGGTGTCTTGGAATAGTAAAGTCATGCTAATGGAACAGTGGAATCCCAAAGTAATATAAATATAGATGGTAAGATAGGTGGGGTTAGGGAGTTTCAGTTCTCAGTGCGCAGGCTGAGTGTGAGGGTAAATGGTTTCAGCACTCAGACGCAGCATGTAAATTTTTGCTATTCTTGCAGCCCAAACTTGAGATAATAAATTGTTACCTATTCTCTATTAGGAGAACATAGATTTTATAACTTTTTTTTGTGCCAAGTAAATTGATTATTTTGAAAGAATGCAAGCTTTAAGAAAAAAGATAATATATGATATGTAGTAAAATAAAATTATACCTAATGGTATATGAAGTTAGGAATATTCCTTTACATCTGTTTATGTGTTTTTTTTTGCATTTCTTGCATCCAAAGAGAATCTGGAGAAACTATTTCCATTGATGTGGACTTAGAAGTGGCGAGAAGTTAACAAAAAAAGAATGGATTTCTTCTTTGGTAATAACCAATATTCACTTGAGAAATAGATCAATAGAATTTCTTTACAGGAACCGATATGATTACAGTTTACTTTTGTTAGGAGTTGAGTGAGATGGAAGTGTGATAGGGGAGGGGCTAGTGTTTATTATGAGGTTACTATATGCCAGACACTGTATTAGGCGCTGTGCATGCTTAAATGTACAGTAGATACAGTGTTTTTATTTTCAATATGAGAAAAACAGTGCTTGAGAGGCATAACTTATGAAAAGAGTACTAGTTTGGGATTCATATGTTTTGGGACCTACCGATTAAGAATAGACAGATTAACAGAAAAGAGAAGTTCTACTTGTGAAGAGCAGCTAGGAATGAGGGTTTATATACCAACTTTAGGGAAGGGGGAGAAATAAATGAAACAATTTCCATTGGGAGACAGATGGGCATTTAGGGGGACACATGGAAGATAGGATAGCTTGTGATAAGGTTTGTTTCTGCAATTTCTCATCCAAGTGCAAGTGCGGGGTCTTTTTCCTGGCAGTGAAGCTCGCTCGCCTGCCCACCCAGGAGAGGATTTATAGCTGCTTCACCCTTCGAAGCCTCTGCCTTTAGTTAGATGAGAAAAGCTCTGAAGGCTTCTTTCCACAACAGCTGAATCTCTGACGTCTTCAGTTGAAAATCATCTTTATACCGTTTGGGGTCCCTACATTTGGAAGGGAAAGGAGGAGAGTGTTCCTTAATATGCAGTAGAAACTTTTAATTTATTTACTTTTTAAAATATTTATTTATATTTTATTTGGCTGCGTCGGGTCTTAGTTGCGGCATGTGGGATCCAGTTCCCTGAACAGGCATCAAACCTGGGCCCCCTGCATTGGGAGCGCTTAGTCTTACCCACGGGACCACCAAGGAAGTCCCTATTTTTATTTTCAAGATGAAAAAATAAGAATAGTGTAGGTGATCAGGTATATTTTTAAAATAAATATTTAGGTTATGTGGGAGATCACTTGGGGTGCTATTCCCGGTGTGAGTTCTAAGAAACATTAGTTTCGCAGAATGCTCTATGAAGAGGGGTTCTTAGTGAAGCAGCTGTAGGAACACCGCATACTATTATGGAGTCGCGATGCACGTAAGTAAATCAGAGACTCTATGATGTCATATACTGAAAGAAATCTAGCTTTTTTGACCCTATTTTTCTCAAAGTTATTTGACTTTGTGACACTGTTTTCCCATGTACACCTACTAGCATTCCGCAGAAGTCATGTTCTTCTGGATATATGAAAAAACAAATTGCAAGAACATCAGTGTAATACTAGTATACAGCACTTCACAGTTTATCGTTGCATGTATCATCTAACAATGCTTAGGACATGTGGAGGCAGATACTCACAGTTAAGAGTATCTAAGGTCTGTTAGAGAGAATACATAAGCTGTTGGTTCAGAAACCACCCCCTGTGCTCAGAGGACAAGGAAGGACTGAAGAAAGAGGCAGCCCCTCCAGATTGGAAGGTAGCAGGTTTAATAAGCAAGGGAACTTACAAGGCTTGTCTTGGGTGGCCGCAAGGTGAGTAGATCTGCACCCGCCCACCCGAATCCTGAAGTTCATATAGAGGCATTAACTGCTGGGTTCAGTCACGTATACTGTCCACATAGTCTCGGCAACACCTTACTCTCTCAAGGCTGCATCCTTGGAACAGCTCCCACTATGGGAACAGTGGGCAGAGCATGCATTCCAAACAGACGGGAGTGGGTGAGGACCATGTGATAGCCCAGGCATCCTCTTGATTACCTCCTCCAGACATAAGCTTCTCCAGACAACTTCCAAATCTCAATGGCCGATTCACACAGTGAAGATTTTTTTTTTTTTCTCACACCAAAGCCCAAAGAGGGTTGCTATAGGAGGCACCTGTAGGGAAGGAAAAAAATACTTTTCCTCTCCTTACCTTAGTTTCATTGGCTGGGGCCTCACAGATTACACTGAGAAAAGACAGATGAACAAGAGAAAAACAGGTTTATTAACATGTGCATCCCACTTATACATGGAAATACTCAGTGATGAGTAACTTTAAGGACTGGTTAGAACTTGGGCTTCTAAAGCATCTTAGTGAAGAAGAGTAATTTTGTAGAGAAGCGAGAAGACAAAAGATACGGACTTTGAGCTTCTGGGTTGGCAAATGGTGGGAAGGAAAATATACGAAGAAAGCAATGGTGGCTAAGGGCTAGTTAGTGAGGTTTGCGGTGTGGAGCCTTCCTCAGCGCCAGCTCATCTCTGCTAGTCAGGTTGTTATCCCCTTCCTGGGACAGGAAGCTGGGGCAGGAGGGCACCTTCACAAGGGGAATTTATGTTCTGTTTTCAGGTAGATGGGAGAGGCCAGAGAGCTCATTCCACGTCTGCTTTTTCTCACTTGCCTTCAGCTTAAAATAACCCTCGTGTTGGAGTGGCATATCTGGGGGTGGCAAATTCTACTACCCTTCCCCCCCTGCCCAGGTTCATTCCGGGGTGACTCAGTCTCCTTTCTGTCATTCTAGGCCCCAGGGCCACGAAATTCTCCAGCAGGTCTTCTGTGTTGGTTGGCAGATGGGGAAAGAGGGTATGAAAGGTCACATGGGGGGCTTTAGGGGCCAAGCCTGGAAGTGTCACACATCGCCTTCCCTCACATTCTGTTAGCTAGAACCCGGTCGCATGGGCCCACCTAACTGCAGGGGAGGCTGGGCAATGCCATCTGCCCGCGAGCCCCGGAGGAAGATGACATAGGGTTGGCAAGGTGAACGTATGGCATTTTCTCTGCCACGGTAGAATTTTAGGTCAGAGAGATCTAGATATGGATCCCTTCTGATTGAGCAACCGTTCGTTATGATTCATTCAGTAGGTCCCGGCGTGTGATTTCACTTTATTTCTTTCATTCACCCCAATATAAAATAGGGTGGATGGTTCTCACATACTACTTCAGGGGCATTTGGGAAACAAGGAGTGATGGAGTTTGAATAGTAGGTTTCGGGAAAACTAAATGATTATTCCATTTGGAACATAGTGGACATGACACCTCTGGTCCCATAGCTTCTTTCTTGCAATACTCTGTGTCTAATATATCCTGGGCCTCTCCCTGATCCTGTTTCAACCACAGATAACAACACGTCTCAGGGATCCTCTGCTCAACACTCTTCCATATTGTTCTCCACACCAAGAAACTTTATCGGTCTTCCTTCTGCTCCCAGAGTGTCCTGTCATGCATGGTCCTAAGAACTGGATGACTCTGGTGGTCCCGTTTGCAGAGGCTGTTCATAACATGACTGGCCAATCTTCACAAGTCCTGAGTAAGTGTGATTACCTTTATGTCACTTTATCCGTATTCTCAATAGAGAGTCACTGTCTAAAGTAGAAGTTGTAGCAAAGTTTAGATAGACTGCAAAATACTACACAAATGTTTGAATATGTGGTATGTGCATTATTGAAAAGATTAACCTAAAGCTATCGTCAAATCCAAGTTTGTGTGCCTGACGCACAGTGAGGCCAAACAAACCGAAGCACTGGAGTTTGGGGCAGAGGAAGGTTTATTTCAAGTGCCAAACAAGGAGAACGGGCAGTTTATGCTCAGAAGACCTGAACTCCCTGATGGGTCTCAGGGAAGAGTTTCTAAAGGCAAATTTTCAGGGAGGGCTGCAGAGGGTGTGACTTTCTTCTGACTGGTTGGTGGTGAGGTAACAGGATGGTGCTCTGGGAATCTCAGTCATCAGCTTTCTGGTTGTAACCAGTCTGGGGTTCCAGTGCTTATGGTCAGCCTGAAGTTACCATCCTCCACCTGGGGTGGGGTCTTAGTTCCTGTAGAAGCACTCAGAGATATGTGTCAGACTGTCTTGTATATCCCTCGAGGAGGAACCAGGACCCTGCCCCATCTCTGCACTATTGTTTCCGGACTGGCTTTCCTTCCTTTCTGCATTCTCTCACTTCCTAATTAGTAACAGTGTGAATCTGCCCTTTGGAACCCAGGGAAGGTCTCGGAGGTTGAAGCCTTTTTCCTACAATCAAGAAACAGGAGGCACGGGAAAGCCTTTTGTGCCTGGGAGCGCCCCACAGGGTCCTGCTCGGTTTCAAAGCTGTTATGATCACTACTCTATCATCACAAAGCATGTGTAAATCTTAGACTTGGTCATGGCCTTGACATCAGAATTTAATAACCATAGAGTATCCAGTCAAGATAAATCCATACTTTAAAACTTTATGTTGTTTTAAAACTTTAGACATTTTGACCAGAGGTGAGGAAAAAAATGTTTAACTTTGTGTTCTTGTTTTTTATTTTATTCAATGCCATGGGTTATCCTTTTACAACTTTGAGCTAATGTTCAAGGTCCAAAGCTTAAAAGGTGTGAAGGTGAAATGTATGGTGAATCATAAGCTACCTAGTTCCCCTCCCAGAAAGCAGTTACAGAGTAGAGTTTCTTGTGTAGCCTTTGAAAGATATTCTCTCTATATAAAAACACATAGAAATAATAATTCTTTTTAAAAATGGTAGCATACATTCTTTGGCAACTTGCTTTTTTCACTAAACCGTATATCTTGGAGATCATTATGTTACAGGACCTATACGACTGCCTCATTCCATTTAATGGTTGAGTAGTATTCGATTGGGAGGATATACATAAATTTTTGCTATTATAACAGTTCTAACATGCATTTCTTTGTACGTACATAAATTTACACGGGCAGGGAAATGTCCAGAAAGCAGAATTACTGGGTCAAATTGTATGTGCATTTTAAATCTTGAGAGATTTTGCCAAATGACCCTCCACAGAAGTCAGGGCCACCATGTTGTCCAGCTTTAAGTGGTTACCATTCACATTGTCACCCTTGGAATTGGGCAACATAGCTCTGACAGAAGATGTACCAGTTTACACTTAATCAATAAATATGAGAGCATCAGCCCACACACTTCTCCACAGTGTGAACCAAACTTTGGTCTATACCGTTCTGAAAAGAAGAATCTCTTTTTTTGGGGGGGGGGCAGGCCACGCCCCTTTTGGGATCCTAGTTCCCCGACCAGGGATCAAACCTGGGCCCCCTGCAGTGGAAGCGTGGAGTCCTAATCACTGGACAGCCAGGGAATTCCCAAGAATCTCTCTCTCTTTTTTTTTTTTTTTTTTAAATTTATTTTCTTTTGCTGCATTGTGTCTTCATTGCTGCCTGTGGGCTTTCTCTAGTTGCGGCGAGCAGGGGCTACTCTTTGTTGCGGTGCACAGGCTTCTCATTGCAGTGGCTTCTCTTGTTGTGGAGCACAGGCCCTAGGCGTGTGGGCTTCAGTAGCTGTGGCACGCAGGCTCAGTAGTTGTGGCTCATGGGCTCTAGAGCACAGGCTCAGTAGTTGTGGCACACGGGCTTAGTTGCTCCGCAGCATATGGGATCTTCCCAGACCAGGGATCAAACCTGTGTCCCTTCCATTAGCAGGTGGATTCTTAACCACTGCGCCACCAGGGAAGTCCCCAAGAATCTCTTAATTTGAATTTGAATTTTCTCATTATGAATGAAGTTGTGCTGGTTTTCCTATATTCAGTTCCGTTTGTACATCATATTCTAGAAACTATCAGTTCTCCCTCTTACCTAGTTTTCCATTTGTTGTTAGTATCTTTCTTTTTTATTTAGAAGCTTTTAAACTACTAAGACAATTCTTTTTTTTTCTTTGCCACATCTTCCCATATCACTTATTTATTTTATTTTTTTAAATTAATTTTTATTGGAGTATAGTTGCTTTACAATGTTGTGTTAGTTTCTGCTATACAGAAAAATGAATCAGCTATACATATACGACAATTCTTTATCCATAGTATGAGTTGCAATTTTTTTCTTTAGGTTACTAAAATTTTTTTATTTTGTTGTATTTTTGCAATGCATAATTATTTTTAAACATTTTTATGCAGCCTACTATATTAACATTTTCTTTTATGGTTTCTGAATTTGGGTCATACCTCAAAAAGTTTACCTCATGATGAAATTTAAAGATTTCCCATGCTCCTATTAGAATTTTTATTGTTTCATTTTTTAAGTTGATTTTTATTGGAGTATAGCTGATTTATAATGTTGTGTTAGTTTCTGCTGTACAGCAAAGTGAATCAGTCATATATATATACATATATCCACTCTTTTTTAGATTCTTTTCCAATACAGGTCATTCAGAGTACTGAGTACAGTTCCCTGTGCTATCCAGTAGGTCCTTATTAGTTATCTATTTTATATATAGTAGTGTGTATAAGTCAATCCCAATCTCCCAATTTATCCCTCCTCCACATTGTTTCATTTTTATGTTTAAATCTTTGAACTATATGGAGTTTATCTTGATTAAACTTCATTTTTCTCAGATCACTTTCCAGTTGTCACACATTTATTAAATGATCTGTTTCATTCCCCACTCATATGCAATGCCACCTTCATCATATACTAAAGTCTCATGTGTATTTGGGTCCATTTGTGAAGTCTCTGCTAAATTAATCTGCCGTTCATGCATCTGGGTCATACTATTTTAGTTACATTAGTTTGAAAATATATTTTAACACTTGATATGTTTGTTTTTGAGAATTGTCTTTTAAAGGTACAAAAATTCAGTTTGTAACCTCAGTGATATTAAAATATTGTTGCTGAGCTAATTTAAAAATATATCCATCTATACAAGGTGCTCATACAGTCTGAAAACATAGATAATATTATCTTATTTTTTACAGATTAAAAATGTCCTTGATGACATTATATGTCTTGAGTGTATGTGTGTGTGTGTGTGTGTATGTGTGTGCGTTTGTATTTGTTTATTCACCTATGTATGTTTTCAGACTTTATAGATACACTATGGAAGTTTCAGTTTGAAAATCATGAAGTCAATCAAGTAATCAAGCATAAATATGAACTATCAACAAATTTTTTCAGAAACCTGGATTTGAGCTTTTAATTCCAAAGATACTTAATCAGGGAAAAAAAATTTTTCTCCAGATCTGTGAGTAATAAATGTTGTCCAGGATGTTATCCTTCTCAAAGATATTTTATGGGTTATGCCATCAGAAATGGAAAATATGATCTATTTTTTACATTAAAGAACTTAGAAGCTGAGGGAGTTTTTTGGGGGGTGCATATTTATCATGGCTGATTTTACACCCCTCAGAGCAGTGTTGGGCATCTTTGCAAGCATCCTCTCTCAACACGCTGGTCCAGATGCTTAAAACTGCCATCGCCTCTCACCTGTTTTGTTGAACTGAAACCATTCAGTCACCACAATGTTAAAGCTCTTCTAGAAGTGATGAAAGAAGTGTATAAGGTAAGGGTTCATTTAAAGGAATGTATATGCCATTTAACTAAATCAAGATCCCTTAGTTGTTTGTCATTTGGAGGCTTGTTTTGTTTTATTTTGCACATCAAGAACGAAAATATTTTATTTAGCCCTTAATAATTCAGAATTTTGCTTGTTTTGCTAACTGGATAAACTGGTGGAATATGTTACATATTATATATAATATATTAGAGGCACAAATACTCAGATAGGAGAATGATTCAGCATTTTCATAATAGAACATAATCCAGAAGTAATCTAAAGCTACTAATAAACCTGATGGTTATTGGAGGATAGGGAGGAGCCAGAGCATTTTAAATAAAATAATTAAATTGATATTGTTCAGTTGAAAAACAATTAGCTAAAGTAAGATGCTTTTAGAAATATAAATTGCTCAATTGGCAATCAAAGCAAATTTCACCACAAAATATCAATCTCAATAGGAGAAAATATTACGTACAAAAGTTAGTGCTGGGACTTCCCTGGTGGCTCAGTGGTTTAGAATCCGCCTGCCAATGCAGGGGACACGGGTTTGATCCCTGATCCAGGAAGATCCCACATGCCATGGAGCAACTAAGCCCGTGCGCCACAACTACTGAGCCTGGGCTCTAGAGCCCGCGAGCCACAACTACTGAGCCCACGTGCCACAACTACTGAAGCCCACGTGCCTAGAGCCTGTGCTCCACAACAAGAGGCACCGCCTCAATGAGAAGCCCATGCACCGCAACGAAGAGTAGCCCCTGCTCACCGCAACTAGAGAAAAGCCCGTGTGCAGCAATGAAGACCCAACACGGCCCTAAATAAATAAATAAATAAATACATTTATTTTTTAAAAAAGTTAGTGCTTTTCAGAAGTAATAATGCACTGATATTTCTAAAGTAGTGTATTTCTTCCCATCTTTACTGAGATATAACTGATGTAGAACACTGTGTAAGATTAAGGTGTACAATGTGTTGATTTGATACACTTATGTATTATAAAATGCTTAGACATTACAAAATGATTACCACCATAGCTTTAGTTAGTATCTCCATCACCTCATATCGTTACCATTTTTTACTGTGGTGAGAACACTTAAGATCTACTCTCTTAGCAACTTTCAACTATATAGTACAGTATTGTTAACTACAATATAATCACCATGCTGTACATTAGATCCACAGAACTTATTCATCTTATAACTGGAAGTTTGTACCCTTTGACCAACATTTCTCCATTTTCCCCACCCCGCCCCCAACTCTGGAAACTACCAATCTACTCTGTTTCTATGAGTTTAACTTTTTTAGAATCCATGTATAAGTGATAACCTACTGTATTTGTCTTTCTCTGTTTGACTTATTTCACTTAGCATAATGTCCTCACGTTCCGTCCATGTTGTTGCAAATGGCAGGATTTCCTTGTTTCTCATGGCTGAATAATATTCCAGTGTGTGTGTGTACACCATATCTTCTTTATCCATTCATCTGTCCATGGACACTTAGGTTGTTTCCCTGTCTTGGCTATTCTAAATAATGCTGCAATGAACATGGGCTGTAGATATCTCTTTGAGATTGTGATTTCATTTCCTTTGGATATATACTCAGAAGTGGGATTGCTGGATCATATGGTAGTTCTAGTTTTAATTTTTTAAGGACGCTCCATACTGTTTTCCATAGTGGCTGCACCAATTTACATTCCCACTAACAGTGCACAAAGGTTCCCTTTTCTCCACATCCTCACCAGCACTTATCTTTTGTCTTTTTAATGATAGCCATTCTAACAGGTATGAGGTGATACCATATTGTGGATTTGATTTGCACTTCCCTGATGATTCGTGATGTTGAGCACCTTTTCATGTACTTGTTAGCCATCTGTATGTCTTCTTTGAAAAAATATCTGTTCAGTTCCTCTGCCCATTTTTTAATTGGATTGTTTGATTTTTTTTCCTGTTATATGACTTCTGTATATATTTTGGATATCAATCCTTTATCAAATATATGGTTTGCAAATTGTTTCTCCCATTCCATAGGTTGCCTTTTCATTTTGTTGATTGTTTCTTTTGCTGTGCAGAAACTTTTCAGTTTAATGTAGTCTCATTTATTAATTATTGTTTTTGTTGTTTGTGCTTTTGGTGTCATATCCAAAAAAATCATTGCCAAGACCAATGTCAAGGAGCTTTCCCCTGATGTTTTCTTCTAGGAGTTTTATGGATTTAGGTCTTCTGCTTAAGTCTTTAATCCATTTCAAGATAATTTTTCTGAGTGGTGTAAGATTGGGGTTCAATTTCATTCTTCTGCATGTGGTTATCCAGTTATCCCAGTTGCATTTATGGAAGAGATTATTCTTTCCACAGAGAGTATTCTTGGCTCCATTGTCAAATACTAGTCAATCAAATATGTAAGAGTTTATTTCTGGGCTCTTGTTTCTGTTCCATAGGTCTATTTGTTTGTTTTTCTGCCAGTACCATACTGTTTTGATTATTATAGCTTTGTAGTATAGCTGTAAATCAGGACATGTGATACTTCCAGCTTTGTTCTTCTTTTCAGGATTGATTTGTTTATTCAGGGTCTTTTGTGGTCTCATACAGATTTTAGGATTGTCTTTTTCTATTTTGTGAAAAATGCCATTAGAATTGTGAGAGAGATTGCATTGTGTTTATAGATGGCTTTAGGTAGTATGGACATTTTAACAATGCTCTCCCAATCCATGAACATTGGATATCTTTTCATTTATTTGTGTTTTCTTCAATTTCTTTCATCATAATCTTATAGCTTTCAGTGTACAGATCTTTCACCTCCTTGGTTAAATTTTTTCCTAAGTATTTCATTGTTTTTGATGCTTTTGTGAATGGCCAGTTAGAGTTTTAAGAAGACAAATAAGAATCCTGAGGAGTCAAATATTTTTAAAAGTAAAAGGGAAATGTTTGACATAAAATAATTGGAGATTTAAAAAGTAAGAAACTTTATGAAGACTTAAAAAGATGTTTGGTAATGGACTCCTTTTGTTTAGAAAAAGTGGACATTACAATTTGTAGTTTCATCATATTTTTCATTCTTGATATTAGTTATATATATCTTTTTTTTTTTTTGGTTCAGTCTTACCAGGAAGGTTTTTTGTTAAGACCCAACCTTTTAATTTGTTGATCTTCTCTCCTATATATCTGCTTTTTATTTCCTTAATTTACATTTGTAGATTTCTTATTTCCTGCCTTCTATCTCTTGGATTAATTTGGATTAATTGGATGTGATGGAGGCTTATTTATAACATTGATTTTCCAGCATTGCTTCTTCTGGGAAGCCTTCTTGAGCGCCTTAAGTCCTTCTCCAATCAAAACTGTATCCTAGGTGCCTGATTACTTGTTTTTACCTACTAGATCATGGGTTGGCAATCTATGCCCACGGGCAGCCTCCTGTTTGTTTGTTTTTCTTTTTCTGTACGCGGGCCTCTCACTGTTGTGGCCTCTCCCGTTGCGGAGCACAGGCTCCGGACGCGCAGGCTCAGTGGCTATGGCTCACGGGCCCAGCCACTCCGCGGCATGTGGGATCTTCCCGGACCGGGGCACGAACCCACATCCCCTGCATTGGCAGGCGGACTCTCAACTACTGCGCCACCAGGGAAGCCTGCCTCCTGTTTTTATAAAGAAAAGTTTATTGAGGCACATCTGTACTCACTTCTTTACTTATTGTCTAAGGGTGTTTCGTGCTACAAAATGGCAGGGTTGAATAGTTGCACCAGAAACTGTATGATCCCAAGCTCAAAATATTTACTATCTGAATTTAAGAGTTTGCTGACTACTCTTCTAGACAGTAAGTGATGTATAAACCAGGACAACTTTTAGCATATGTTTTGTCTGATGACTGATAAATAGTGTGTGCTAAATTAATATTCATTAATTCATAGAGAAAGGGATGAATTTGTCAAAAGTACCTTAGATTGTTTTGTGCTTTTATCCTCAATATCTAGAAACTGTTTCTAGTGAACCTGTGCCCTGGGAATTGGTTTACTAATCTCCACTGGCAATGTTTTACATCTTTTACAATATTTGTAAAAATTGGAGAAATTATGGATCAAAACATGGAAGTTTTCTAGAACTCTATTTCATCATTGACCAATGCATTGGGTTTATAGAGCTCTATTCTAATTATCTATATGCTAGCCATATATAAAAATAGATGAAATCACTTATTGATAGAAAATGAAAATCACAGGTCATATTCTCTTTAAGGTAAACAAAGCTAATTGTCAACTACCAGAAATACTTTCAACATAAATGAACTATCCATTTTGTTGAACTTTTATGAAGAGAGAAGAAGAGTGATCTGTAGGGATAAAAACCTGGTAAGAATATCATTTTTACTTTCTGAAGTTTTTCATACTTTAAAGGGGGAACACATTAGTAGCTAGGTAGGTATCTTTTTTGATAAATTAATATTTGAAAATTTCCTCATTGCAGTGCTGAATTTGCTAAAGTAGATGATCATGGAAAACTTAAACACCTTTCAGTCACAAAACAAATACATTTTCCTAGAAATTTGTTTCCAGTTAATATAGATTCTTACAAATTCTAAAAAGTGTGGAAGTAAATAATTTAAGGTGGTGAGGTAAAGGAATGAATGAAGTTTTCCTTTTCTTTTGATTATCAAAACTGTTATCTCTTTTTAATTATTAGCTACCTACAGAAAACCTCAGTCCCATTATTTTCAGTGATTTTCCATTTGTCTTTTGGTTTTTTTTGTTTTTGTTTTTGTTTTTTGTTTTTTGTTTTTGGCGGTGTGTGGGCCTCTCACTGTTGTGGCCTCTCCCATTGCGGAGCACAGGCTCCGGACGCACAGGCTCAGTGGCCATGGCTCACCGGCCCAGCCGCTCCGCAGCATGTGGATCTTCCCGGACCGGGGCACGAACCCGTGTCCCCTGCATCAGCAGGTGGACTCTCAACCACTGCGCCACCAGGGAAGCCCTCCATTTGTCTTTAATTTGCTCTCCAAAATTAAATTATTGCAAGCTGATTCCCATATAAAAATGCTGGTATGTATGTCTTACTTTTTTATTATGTAAAATGTTCAAACATATACAAAATATAGATAATGCTGTATTAAACCACAGCACAAATTTTCAGCCATCATTAACATTTTGCCATACTTTCTTCATTTATCATTTTTGTTATTTTTGTAATTGTTACTATTTTTGCTAAAGTATAATATTTTAAAGCAAATCCCAGGCCCAATTTCTTTTCACCTCGCCATACTTCAGTACATTATTTCTGGTTGCTTCACTTTTGTTCTTGCTGGGATTAATCAGTGGGTTCAGGTAGTGAACACATTCTTCCATTGTAATATTTCCCATCAACCTTTTTATAAATAATTAAATCACAGTTGGTGTACAATATTATATAAGTTACAGGCATACAATATAATGATTCACAATTTTTAAAGGTTATACTTTATTTATAGTTCTTATAAACTATTGGCTATATTCCCCATGTTGTACAGTATATGCTTGTAGCTTATTTTATATCTAATGATTTGTGCCCCTTACTCCCCTACCCCTATATTACCCCTTCCTGCTTCCCTCTCCCCACTGGTAACCACTAGTTTGTTCTCTCTATCTGTGAGGCTGCTTCTTTTCTGTTTTATTCACTAGTTTGTTGTATTTTTTAGATTCCACATATAAGTGATATCATTCAGTATTTGTCTTTCTCTGTCTGACTTCCTTCACTTAGCATAATGCCCTCCAAGTCCATCCATGTTGCAGCAAATGGCAAGATTTCATTCTTTTTTATGGCTCAGTAGTATTCCGTTGTATATATATACCACATCTTTCTTATCCATTCATCCATTGATGGACACAGGTTGCTTTCATATATTGGCAATTGTAAATAATGCTGCTATGAGAAGAGTTAACACCTGTCCTTCTCAAACTACTCCAAAAAATTGCAGAGTAAGGAACACTTCTGAACTTATTCTATGAAGCCATCATCACCTTGATACCAAAACCAGACAAAGATACCACAAAAAAAGAAAATTACAGGCCAATATCACTGATGAACATACATGCAAAAATCCTCAACAAAATACTAGCAAACCAAATCCAATGATATATTAAAAGGATCATACACCACAATCAAGTGGGATTTATCCCAGGGATGCAAGGATTTTTCAGTATACACAAATTAATCAGTGTGATATACCACATTAACAAATTGAAGAATAAAAGCCATCTGGTCATCTCAACAGATGCAGAAAGAGCTTTTGATAAAATTCGACATCCATTTATCATAAAAACTCTCCCGAAAGTGGGCATAGAGGGAACCCACCTCAACTTAATAAAGGCCATATATGAAAAACCGACAGCTAATGTCATACCCAATGGTGACAAGCTGAATGCATTCTCTTTAAGAACAGGAACAAGGCAAGGATGCCCACTCTCACTACTTTTATTCAATATCGTTTTGGAAGTCCCAGCAGCAGCCATCAGAGAAGAAAAAGAAATAAAAGGAATCCAAATTCCTTTGGAAAGGAATAAGTAAAACTGTCACTGTTCACGCATGACATGATGCTATACATAGAAAATCCTAAAGATGCCACCAAAAAACTATTAGAGCTCATCAATGAATTCAGTAAGGTTGCAGGATACAAAATTAATATACAGTAATCTGTTGCATTTTTATACACTAACAACGAACTATCAGAAAGAGAAATTAAGGGAACAATCCCATTTACATCAAAAAGAATAAAGAGCTAGGAATAAACCTACCTAAGGAAGCAAAATATCTATACTCTGAAAAGTGTAAGACGTTGATGAAAGAAATCAAAGATGTCACAAACAGATGGAAAGATACACTGTGTTCTTGGATTGGAAGAATCAATATTGTTAAAATGACCATACTAACCAAGGCAATCTACAGATTTAATGCAACCCTTATCAAAATACCAATGGCATTTTCCACAGAACTAAAACAAGTAATTTAAAAATTTGTATGGAAACACAAAAGACCCCTAATAGCCCAAACAATCTTGAGAAAGAAGAACAGAGCTGGAGGAATCATGCTTCCTGACTTCAGACTATTCCACAAAGCTACAGTAATCAAACCAGTACGGTACTGGCACAAAAACAGACACATAGATCAATGGAACCAAATAGAGAGCTCAGAAATAAACTCACACACTTATAGTCAGTTAATTTATGACAAAGGAGGCAAGAGTATACAATGGAGAAAAGACAGCCTCTTTAATAAGTAGTGCTGGGAAAACTGGACAACTATATGTAAAAGAATGAAATTAGAACACTCCCTAACACCATACACAAAAATAAACGCAAAGTGAATTAAAGACCTAAATGTAAGGCCAGACACTATAAAACTCTTAGAGGAAAACATAGGAAGAACACTCTTTGACATAAATCACAGCAAGATATTTTTTGACCCACCTCCTAGAGTAATGAGAATAAAAACAAAAATAAATAAATGGGACCTAATTAAACTTAAAAGCTTTTGCACAGCAAAGGAAACCATAAACAAGATGAAAAGACAGCCCTCAGAATGGGAGAAAATATTTGCAAACAAAACAACTGACAAAGGATTAATCTCCACAATATACAAACAGCTCATGTAGCTCAATATCAAAAAAAAAACCCAATCAAAAAATGGGTGGAAGACCTAAATAGACATTTCTCCAAAGAAGACATACAGATGGCTGACAAACACATGAAAAGCTGCTCAATGTCACTAATTATTAGAGAAATGCAAATCAAAACTACAATGAGGTATCATCTCACACCAGTCAGAATGACCTTAATCAAAAAAATCTACAAACAGTACATGCTGGAGAGGCTGTGGAGAAAAGGGAACCCTCATGCGTTGTTGGTGGGAGTGTAAATTGATACAGCCACTATGGAGAACAGTATGGAGATTCCTTAAAAAACTAAAAATAGAACTACCATATGACCCAGCAGTCCCACTACTGGGCATATATCCAGAGAAAACCAGAATTCAAAAAGACACATGCACCCCAGTGTTCATTGCAGCACTATTCGCAGTAGCCAGGGCATGGAAGCAACGTAAATGTCCATCAACAGAGGAATGGATGAAGAAGATGTGGTACATATGTACAATGGAGTATTACTCAGCCATAAAAAGGACTGAAATTGGGTCATTTGTAGAGACATGGATGGACCTAGAGTCTGTCATACAGAGTGAAGTAGTCAGAAAGAGAAAAATAAATATCGTATATTAATGCATATATGTGGAATCTGAAAAAAGTGGTATAGACGATCTTATTTACAAAGCAAAAAAAAGACACAGAGGTAGAGAACAAACATATGGATACCAAGGGAGAAAGGTGGGGATGGGATGAATTGGGAGATTGCCATATGACCCAGAAATTCCACTTCTGTGAATATAGTTGAATTTGAAAAGATACATGCATTCCACCAACCTTTAATGAATAATTTCATCCACTGCATTGTTAAAGTTTGAAAAATGGTGATATTTCTGATCTTATCATTCCTTCCAAAATTATTAACAGGAATTCTGTAAAGAACTTTTCCTTGTCAATCAGGGCCATTTAGTTACCCTGAAAAATATCAGTCATATATGAAGGTAGAATGATGCTTAATCTTTTTCCTTTAATAATTAAATGTTGCCAAATTACTGTATGTAGTGGTTGTACCAACTTATGTTGCCACGAGCAACGTATGAAAAGCCTCTTTCACACACTCTCACCGATGCAGTGTTACTAAGCTTTGTGATCTTTTCCAGATGTGATGGCTTAATCATGACATTTCAGTTTAGTTTTAATTATGTTTCTTATTATTACATAATGCCTGAATCCTATACTCTTTTTATTTATTTAGTTATGGCCGCGTCAGGTCTTAGTTGCAGCATGTGGGCTCTTCGTTGCAGCGCGTGGGCTTCTGTCTAGTTGTGGCCTGCGGGCTTCTCTCAAGTTGTGGCGTGCAGGCTGCAGAGCAGGTGGGCTCTGTAGTTGTGGCGCGGGCTCCAGAGTGCGTGGGCTCTGTAGTTGCAGCACGTGGGCTCTCTAGTTGTGGTGCATGGGCTCAGTAGTTGCAGCACGCAGGCTTAGATGCCCCGCGGCATGTGGGAATCCCAGTTCCCCGAAGAGGGCCCGAACCCGCGTCCCCGGCGTTGGAAGGTGGATTCTTAACCGCTGGACCACCGGGGAAGTCCCTGAATCCTCATACTCTTTAGCTAATATTCATTGTTCTTCTACTATGAGGAATACTGAAATTATCTAGTAACTGTTCTTTCCCACTCCCTTCATTCTCTTCCTCAATCTAGCTTTAGTTACTGCTCTGTTCTTAGTGTTAGTCTTTCGATTTTCGTATTTGCTTAAGAGTCTTGGAGCTTGGTTTGTCAGCCGCAAGTGGTATCTTCTCTTCCCGGATAGTGCCTGTGAGGCATTCAGTGAGTTTATTCTTCTGTTTGTTTTACATCTTTATTGGAGTATAATTGCTTTACAATGGTGTGTTAGTTTCTGCTTTATAACAAAGTGAATCAGCTATACATATACCTATATCCCCATATTTCCACCCTCTTGTGTCTCCCTCCCACTCTCCCTATCCTACCCCTCTAGGCGGTCACAAAGCCCCGAGCTGATCTCCCTGTGCCATGCGGCTGCTTCCCACTAGCTATCTACCTTACGTTTGGTAGTGTATATATGTCCATGCCTCTCTCTCGCTTTGTCACAGCTTACCCTTCCCCCTCCCCATATCCTCAAGTCCGTTCTCCAGTAGGTCTGTGTCTTTATTCCTGTCTTACCCCTAGGTTCTTCATGACATTTTTTTTTCTTAAATTCCATATATATGTGTTAGCGTATGGTATTTGTCTTTCTCTTTCTGACTTACTTCACTCTGTATGACAGACTCTAGGTCCATCCACCTCATTACAGGTAGCTCAGTTTCGTTTCTTTTTATGGCTGAGCAATATTCCATTGTATATATGTGCCACATCTTCTTTATTCAGTGAGTTTATTCTGCTTCCCACTTACTCTCCCTTCTGCTGCTTCTCTCGTAGCTGTATTGTTCGACACAACATTTGCATGCTGTTTTGTGTCTCGTATCGCCATCAGCCTGAGCTTTTAGTTATGTATCTATGATCCTCATCCCAGCCCCTACCCCCAGACATTATGCTGAAGATTTCCCAAACATTTTCTTTATTGCTGAGGCTTGTTTTCTAGGCCATTCCTCAGGAAAGGTTTGTATCTGTTTATCTATGATATTTGTACTTTAAAGACTCACACGGTGAGACATGGAGAGGTCTGGGACATCCCATGTACAAAATGAGCCATTTCAGTTATCAAACGTTTCCTTTATTTACCCTATTAATTATATAGCTTACATGACATTTTCCAGGAGCCGTGCCCCATAAATCTATAAATTCCATGTTTCTTTATAATAAGCCACCTAGATGGACAAGGTCCATCCTGCTAAAAGCGTTCTGTAGATGAGGACTCTTCCTTTAGTTGAGGTTATTAGTGTCTGTCATCAGCATGTTTACAAGGAGATTTGACTGAATCATCTCCTCTTTTGTTTCCCAGCTACCCCTTTTAAAAATTTTCCTAACATCCCTGGTAATGAGAGAAAATAGATTGTCTTTCCTTGAGAAGCCTAACTGCCCCGTAAGTGTCCTTTAAACAAGTCCTTCCCTGCTTGGTACTTTCTTCTACAGCAGCGCTCTATCTAACCTATCTACTGTGTTAATGAGGGTTGAGTGGACATCTACTGTGTTAATGAGGGTTGAGTGGACAGTGGACCCAGGCAGGTTGCATATTATGAAGCATTAGGGAAGATTTGAGGACAAGAAAACTCTAGTTGTCATTGTCAAGGGTGAAGTTAGAAAGCATACGCCAGAATCCTGTCTTCCAAGGGAGAGATGATGGATGTAGTCCAAATTGTAAGCTCCGAACTGTATTACCAATTCAAATGCATAAATGTAGAGAGGGGAAACCAGTACATGGAGAATGGGAGTAGAGGAACTGGAAAATAGGTTAAGCTGCAGGTTTCCAGTCCAGTTCTTGGCTAGGTGACAGAAGGGGGGCCTACAACAGGCCACATACACCTCTCCCTGCTATAGTCAGTGGAGGGCTTTGCTGGACACTCCCTGTCACTCAGAGCCGCAGGACACGTTGCTCGGCAGTCAGAATCACGACGCATCCCAGAGCTGCAGACTCCTGGACCAAAGGAAGAGAAGACCCACCACCAGGAAGGACCAGAAATGGCACTTTTGCATTTCCCTGCAAACCTGGAATTTCTTTACAACAAATATCTTAAGGAACAAGCAGAAGAATCTAGGAGCATCCTATATCACATTCCCAGTACTTAGTGGTGGCAGAGGTCTGGGACAGGGCTTTCCCAAGCCTAGAGCCACAGGCACACTTGTCTCAGATGCTGGTAGAGGGCTTATATGGGCAACCACACTCAGCCTGGAAACCTGGGATAGCACAGCTGTTATCCACCTGTCTTGCTGTCACTATTGCAGGACAGGCCCCAAGAGGGTTGCATTGGTTTATAAATCCTAAATACTCCTTTACTGTCCTTGGGATAAAGCAGACGCCCTAGAGGAGTGTTGAGGTCAAAGCAAGTCCAGCACCTGATTTCTAATCCAAGGGAGTTCAGCAGAATCAAGATTATGGGACTAAATTGGTAAGGAAATGTTGAGAATTCAGAAAAGCTACATGGAAGTACTGTATTGCGTGGCCAAGAAGAATGCTAGCTACAAAATGAGGCCACCAGTGACATCTTTTTAGGGAGTTCCCATGCAAATTCAGTAGATGGATCACAGGTATTTGAAGTAGAGGAGTGGATTTTCTCTGGGAAAGCCTTTCCTCTAGTCTTCTTGGTACAGCTGACACGTCTGAGCTCCTCCACTGCCCTTATATTTTTGAGGATTATGGTGGCAAGACTGCGAAGTGGATGACACCGGATGAATGCTTCAGCATGTTTAATACCACTGTTGCCTGTAAGGATTATGTTTCCTATAATAAGTGATCTGAGACTACTTAGCTGAGTAATCCCCTGTATACAGTTCCTAGATGCCACAGATCCTGCCATCTCTTTATCTCCCATAATATAGATACGATGTTCTTTTCCTTAAATAATTACAATATGAGTGTATATAGCAATGGTAGGCATACATGTGTGCTATATAAACTATGTTTATTTGAAATATTAAACAATTCCTAGTATTCCTATGAGGATTCCTAAAATATTTCTTTTTCTAGGAATCAGAAGGGATAGACTGCATGGATTTTGGGCAAATAATTCTGCGAGGAAAGGATGAATCCCCTCCATTTATGCTTGGAGTCAGACAGAGTCACCTAGTTGAAGATGCTCTGCGTCAGTTGAGCCAAGCTGAAGTCACTGACCTCCGGAAAATATTAGTGATGCCGTAAAAAGCCTCCTTGGATATTTTTACCAATGTGGGAGGGAAACGTTTATATAACGTAGCACAGGAAGAGCCTGTGTTTGCAACTATAGTTATCAGCCTAATGGTTTCCAGGATTCCTTGCTTCCCCTTCAGAGAAAAGCTATGGGGTGTTTAACTGAACACTGGGTTATGAGTTAACTATTAGTTACCTATGGCTACAGAAATGCTGCTTAATGAACCATCCCAAGCACAGTGACTTAAAATAATAATTGTATAGATCTGCAATTCAGCTGAGGGTCTGCTAATCTAAGTTGAGCTCATCTGGGTGGCTTTGCAGGTTTTGTCTATACTTGTGTACATGTCTGCGAGTTAGCTACGGATTGGCTGATCTAGGCTAGGCCCGGCTGCGGCAGTTTGGCCCGGGGCCCTGGTTCCTACGTCTTCCATCTTCTTCCTGGGACCCGCAGACGTGTTCTCACAGCATTGTCAGAGGTACAAGACAGGAAGCCCAGTCACATGACAAACATTGCTTTAGTCAAAGCAAGTCACATGGCTGAACTCAGGTCAAGGGCTGCCAAAATATACTCAGCCTCTTTAATGAGGGGAACTGCAGAGTCACACACAAGAGACCTGGGTCAAGGAGGGGTGAAGAACTGGGGCTGTGACTGCAGTCAGCAAGCAGCAGGTGCAACAGGTACTTTATCCTACCTTTTGGCTCTAGTTTTAGTCGTAGACCTTCCAGTATATTGGTTCCAGTTCTCGGCATCCTTCACTTCACCCTTTGTGGGCATCTGTAGGGTTTTCACTGTGCGGTACCTCAGATCATTTGCCCACAGAATAATGGCTAACTTTGTAGGTGAGGGCTGGCATCTGTCTAGAAGGGAGGGACTTTTCCTAATATCAGCCATGAGGGGAAGAGTTAAGTTCTCAGAGAAGTCAGAACCTGAGGGTGGGCCTCAGAGAGGAGAGGTATGCTCCCCAGCAGGGGACTCGAATGGAAAACACAGAAACTATTTTATAAGCCAGACTCTCTAGTTGTTGTCTCCCTCTGTACCTATTTTCCTTCAAATCTTCATTATGAGGAAATCAATAGAAAATGATTCTGCCTGCAGGAGATGACAAAGAGGTAAGAAGGCAAACTTCAAGACAAATCCAATCAAACTATAGCCTCTGAACAAGGCAAGGTTGTCAAGGCCCTTTATGAGCAGGTCCTGACCGTGGCAAAGGCGGACTTGCTAGTGTAAATGAGCAGAAATAGGAAAATCAGAAGCAAGTTTAAGTTATTATTGGGATCTCTGGATGGAATGTGAGGCAGACCCTTGGAGATGATGAACAATGGCCAAGGAGTTGGTTGATCACAGTGCCAGTAAGTAAGATCTTCTAGGCAAACAGAAGAGAAAGAGAACTCTTAGTGAAGCTTGCTGAGACTTGTATTAAAAAGATAAAAAGAAACAGACAGAAAGGGAAGGATGGAAGGAGTAGTTAGAGAGGTAGTAGGAAACCCAGGACAGCACTCAACTACAAAGCCCAGAGGCAGACTTTAGAAACGAGGGACCTGTTCTTATTGACGCCCACAAGAGCATTCTGGGCAGTCAGCTCTGAAGGTTCCTACAAAGGTGTCATGCCCAGGCTGATGGGGAGGGCTGTTTATCTGAAGTCCTAATGAGGGGAGAGGCAGGAGAAACCAAATGATTGTTGACTGGAGCCGAAGTTTTAAAGCCTGAATGATGAGAGGAAGATAAACAAGATAGAAGAATTGAGGAACTTAGTGGCCCAGGGGTTTGAAGCACATCAAAATTTGGTTCAAGACACTGGTCAACATAACTGGAGAATGCTGAGCCTCGCCAGAATCCCGCTTCACTTGGTTCACGTAGCCGTGGAAGGGACCCATGCACTCACTATACAGTAATCTGACAGTAAATAGGTTCATGGCATCTGCTGCTCAGGAGCAGATTGAGGGAGAGCAGAGTACAGTTAGGTAAGGAGAGCAGATTCTGGGAATCCTGGTGATGGCAGGTTTGAAACTTTTCCGTAAAGGTCAAGGCATTATATTTTAAATCTGGACCTGGGACTGTGTTCTCTTTCCTCAGGTTGAATTTATTAAAGGAATTCGTTCTGTGGGAGAAGGGGTGAAGTCCGAGTTCTTCCACCGTATATTTGAAGATATGACCAAGAAAGAATATGGGATGTTCATATATCCTGAAGAGGGTTCCTACGTGCGATTTCCTGTCAACGTAAGTTTTTAATTTGTTTTCTTATGGTTTTTTAGAACAGAAAAATATACCATATACTGTAACATGAACACAACATATACTAATGTGAAATTAGGTCACATAAAGCCTTGCTACTCAAAACACTCTGCACAGCGCAGAACTCCAGCGTTACCTGGAGCTGTTAGAAAAGCAGAATCTCAGGCCCAGATCAGAACATGTTTTTTTTTTTTTTTTTTTTTTTTTTTTTTTGGGTGGGGGGGCTTCCTCCTTTTTTTGTTTTCCCCTTTTGGGGGGGGGTGCCCCCCGGCGCGCGGACGCGCCCGCCCCTCACCGGGCCAGCCCCCGCC